TGAGTCCTCAAAACATTAACCCTCTTGATGTCTCGCTTTGGAATTCCATTGTCGTGACCGCCTGTGGGGACATCATCAGTCCATGACAAAGTACATCTTTGTTTGAAGGAGGAACTAGACTAATATTTAGCCTAAGATTATGCTAACCACCAGCGATGGGAAACAAGAAGGGAAGAAGGAAGAAAGCAGAAAGAGAAAGACTAGAATTTAGTTTAATTACAGTCAATACCTGGACGGACAAAAGCCCATCTACAGAGACTGTTAATGTTTATTTGTCTTTCCCTTTGTGCCACACCGGGTAAGAAAAAAGGAATATGACTTTTTTGTTGTTGTTGTTTTGGATCTTGCTATGTAGTATAGGCTGGCCTTGAACTCACTTGCAACCCAGGCTGACCTTGAAATTGCATCGATCCTCCTGCCTCGGCCTCCCAAGTGCTGGTATTACAGGGTGCACCTCCTGACAAGGAGAAATCTTGAGGCTCTCTTGATTTTCTGCATTGGCGAGGTGGAAAGACAACCCACCTGTCTGTTGTGTAAATCTTCTCTGGTAGCTCAGAAAGGATTATGAGTAATTGCCAATATCTATGATACAGAGAAGTAGGCCTTTAGTCATAGAGCCATAAGACTAAAAGGACCCTAAAGGTTGTCTCATGCCATTTATCGTTTTAATAAGTGCCTGTCCATCCCATCTGCCTGACATGGTCAGTGACCAGATTCTACTAGGGCCTGCTGCTGGGGCCAATTTCAACTCATGCTACAGCAATTTAAAATTTAAGAAAAAAAAAATACTTTTCTAGGCAAGAGCTACACACTTTCCAATAACGAATCTGAAAGATACTGATTTCTTAATGTTTCCCCACTTAAATTCCTATGTCTACAGCTTCAAATATGAAGAAATTTTTTTTTTTCATATCTATTTGACTATCATATAGGAAATTTGTGACAAAAGGAAGCATAATCCCATTGTCCTGGTCTTTACCTAGTTCATGCTTGTGTACCAAGCAAGAGCTATTTTAACTTGTTACTAAAGTTTTCTTTCTTTTTTTTTTACAATCAAGACCTAGTTTCACTTGCACATTTTTCACGAGCATCAAATAGTGGGTGATCTCTCAAGCTTGAACAGCAGCAGTCGTATCGCTGAGGAAGGATTTCTCGTTTCAAGCTGCCTAGGTAATGATTTATAGCTATTTTAGGTCATTCTCAAAGTGACAGCTCCCTGAGTTTTCCTGTGCGCAGAAAAATTTGCTGGGCTAGCATCTTTCAGACCCTGGGGGTTCATCCCAGGCCTTGGCATGGGGGAACCAGGGAAGCTCTGAAGTCCTTATTCCAGAAGGAACTGACCTGTCCAACACGATCCTGCGCTACATGTGAATACTTGAAGAGGCTTCCCCTAATGTGAGGGCTTGTGAGACAGAAAGAATCTATGAGTTGGATGAAATGATTTTATGGCAGCCATGAAACCAGCTTCATCAGTTGAACCTATGACGGTGGTTCAGTTCCACTGAACAGAACTAATCATACTTTTTCCAACATCAATAAATGTTTGCTAAAAAGAAGAAAGGATGCCAAAGAGAATACATAATCAGAAGCAACCTTTTGGAATTCTGAATGTTGTCAGCAAACACGTGCGGGGCCCTGGCTATTACAAGCGGGGTTGGGGGTAGAGCGGATGTGGACAAGAAGCAAAGAAAGGAAAGGAGAGGAAAAGACATCGTAGGCAAGAAAGGAGGGAAGCACAAAGGATTTTTCTTTAAAGCGAAGAACAAAACAGTGTACTGAGTATACCTTTACGCTGCTTCCTCAGCCAGAAGGCTTGGTGGGTCTGCATTATGTGCAGGATACACTTCAGCCGCTCCGATGGTTAGGATGTTCGTGAGCTGCGCTGGACCTTCCCCAGGGTTCTGGAACGTGCCTTTGCACCCGGCCCTTACCTCTGTGTTTTCACTCCCTGAAGAAACTCTTGTATACACTGCAAGGTTCAGCCTCAGCGGCTACCCCTCCTTGCGTCTGGTTAGCACCTAACGGCCTCGTTCTCTGTCACATTGACTTTTCCTCCTGAACATTTTGTCTGATGCCTTCCTAGGGCGTCCTCCATAAAATTCCCTGAGCGAAACTGATGGAGTATTCTAGAAACTCTGACCTGCATGCTATCAAATTACTTGCACATATTTTGTGTGTACATTTTTTGTTTGTTTTTTATTTTAAAATGATAAAAGAACAAAAATGATGATATGGAATTTCAAAACAACAGACAGGAGATTAACAATGTTGCAATGTTGTGTATTGTTACCTTCAAGGTAGTTGCTCAGATTATAAAATACAGGCATGAGAAGATGATCGGTGAAAGCACCAACGTTTCTTCCTGATGAACTAACAGAGATTCTAGTGTAATTCTCTAGCGTTTTGCATGTTTTTTGTTTTGTCATGTGGGATTTAGACACTTACAAAATTGCCATTCCTTCTCCTCTCTGTGCTGCTACTTCTGTGGGCTAAGCTGGCCTTTATTTAACTTCCCTCTTCAGCCTTGGGGCCTTTTTCCTACAATGGGTTTTTCTAAAGCCTTCATTTTATTTGAAATCAGCCCCTAGTACCACAACTAAAGTGATAAATCATCAGTTTTTACTGAGAGTTTTAAAGAAGTTTATCATGTAGAAATTATTTGGTATGTTTCTATTTTTTTAATGAGAGAAAATGTTGAATATAAAAGGTTTAATAAAAGCAGTAGGACTGAAGTATTTCTACTTGACATGGTTTACTGGAAAAGGTGCACTGGAAGCATCAAACAGCCAGGAGCTAGGATGGAAACACCTCACCCTTGTAGATAGGAGGAACGTGAATTTCTACACTTCTCCGAGCTCACGTGCAAATTTATCGTTAGACCCTTCCTAGAGGTGTGAGTGGAGGTATCAGTGCACCTTCATAACTCTATGGAACTTCCACATATAAACAGTTTACATCAGAGAGAGTCACAGAGAGGAACCCAAAAAGAAAGATTATCGTAACTCAGCACATGCTTGGGCACTCCATGAAACTAATACATTGAACCTATAATATTAGTTGAATTTTCGTAAAGAAGTTTAATAAAGGTCTTTGCAGCATCAACTTATTCCAATGATCCAGCTCCATCCCTTTAAAAAAAAAAAATCCAGGGCTGGGGGTTTAGTTCAGTGGCATAAGCACCTGCCTGGCAAGTGCAAGGTCGTGAGTTCAATTCCCGCCACCAAAAAATCCATATCTTCTCTGATCACTGAAAAATACAAAAGACTGCTCTTGTTTTCAATAAGTATGAGAGCACTGTATTCTAATATACTGAAATAACCTTTCGCAAGATACACACCAAAACGTTACTTACGATATTTTCCAGTGTGTAAGTCTTAGGCATCGTGTGGCCATTCATGAACAGCCTCTAAGCCAGTGTGTCATTTCTCCACTTGAACATTATGTGAACATAACACCCACTGAAGTCCTAAAACTCAATTGAATAATGCCATGCCATATCCAGAGTGCCCTTCCCATGGATGGAGGCATGCGTATGATCGGAAAGTGTTCAAAGAAATGGAGTCCTGGTCACCATGAAAACTCACCCCAGAGTTGTCTTGGGGCAGGCAGCAACTTATCAGGGTATTTTGGGGGCTCGTCCCAGGTTTGCAGAGCTTTAGGGACTTGCTTTGATGTGGCCACTCTAAGTCCGTATCATGTTTAGTAGCTCCTTTTTTGTTGCAAAGTATTTTAGATGCATTGAAATAACCTTTGCTCACACAGCCTCCTTCTCCCTTGGTTCACTTGGCTTCCTCCTTCTGGGAAGCTTCTTCCCTCCCACAAATGCTGCTCACAGGTCAAGGGCGGGCTCCCATCCCGACCCCTGTGCTGCCCCCCACTCCCGCCAAGCACAAGGGTCTCTGCCTTTTGTGAAGACCAGCATTGTTTTGGTTTTTTAGGCATTTATTTATCTTGTCTACTATTTTTGTCCTACATCGCTTTTCTCCACCTGTGCTGCATCCTTCTTAAAGGCAGGTACTGCTTTGGTTACTAAACATGGTCTGTCACCATACGTGCCTCACAGATATTAAGTATCTGTTGACTGGTGGATGTAATGTGTTAGCTTTATGCTGAGTTGCCTTTGACACTGTCAAGGGAAAAAAGTACTCCTGACTCCACAATTATGAGTCCTATTCCGAGTTGCTTTGCAAAGCTTTCATATTTATTTTCACGATGTCAATGTCAATAAATGCATCTTGGTACTGGAATCTATGATAATGCGTAGGTACTAGTGATCCAAACTATTTATAAATTAGCAGTGAACGAATACAAAACATTTAATATTCAGATCCCTGATAATTCTACTCATATATTCCTCTCTGTGAAATAAGCCCTCAGATACTTAACTGTGTCATCAAAATAAAATGCCCAGTTATCATGACAAAGTGCATTCAAAGCCTTAACAATATAAGTATTTTGGGTCTTCAATTTTACCTCTAGAGAACACAGACAAAGGAAATAAAATACATGGCTATAGATTGTTCATCATAACACTGAACATAATATATAAAAATATTTACAAGCCTACTAACAATAAAACAAGTGATGGATGAAATGAATAGCCCACCGTACAAGAGAGCCTTCAATGTTATATGAGAATATTTAATGAAATGAAGAGTCTCAATATATTTGGCAAGAAAAAAGTCAGAATTATAATTGCATTTTTAAAATCTTAGAAATGTATACTCCGAGTTTTGATAGTATGGATTTCTCAGTTCCCTATAGTGAAAAGGTATTGTTTTTTGGATGAAGAATAAAAAATTTAAAAGCATTAAAATTCTACTGAAATGCTTAGCAGAACCTGAGACTCATGAGGGTCATGCGCTCTACAGCCAAGAAAAACATCACTTAGGCTAAAAAGGGTGCCCTGTTCCTGCCAGCTGACGTCCTCGGGAGAGGGCACGCGGGCTGCGGCCCAGCTGGGCCTGGCGTCGCTGTGCTCACGGCTCTGTCGCTTGCAGGTCCACGGGAAGTGCATGTGCAAACACAACACGGCGGGCAGCCACTGCCAGCGCTGCGCCCCGCTGTACAATGACCGGCCCTGGGAGGCGGCTGACGGCAGGACCGGGACCCCGAAGGAATGCAGAAGTGAGTAGCCAGTCCGCAGCGCCCCAAGCCGCCTCTGTGGACTCTAGAAACCCAAATAAAGTGGTGGGTGACAGCACGTAAAATACACGCTGCCCGGTGTTTCTTCAACAACTGGAAACGGCTGCTGTTAGCCAGGGTGCCTGTAATAGGTGGGGTTGTCAGGGCCCTGCTGCGGGTTTGCTTGGACAGTTGGCCAGCTCTGGGCACCCAGCCTGGGGATCTGACATGCTGCAATGAGAGGAGACACAGGAGGGGTGAGGAATTATGGCGCACTGTTCTGCAGCTATCATCATGAAAATAGCTCTTTTGAGTTCAGCTCTCAAAACAACCCAATAAAGCAGGTGTTGTTGATCCCATTTTAGAGATCAGGAAACTGAGGCTCAGTAAGATTAAGTGTCTTGCCAGAGTTAGTAAATGAAAGACTTGGGACTTGATCCCAAAGCCTCTGACTCCAAATTAGATACTTGTTTCCATTACATCATCGTGCTTGCTTTTCACTTATGACGCTTGAAATGCAGATCAGATTAGAAATTAAACCAACAAGTTGAGAATGAGATTGCTTTACTAGGACTAACTTTGGGGGTGAGGTGGAAGATTAGGAGAGAGAAAACATGGGGGCATGAACCAATTTGATCATTGTAATTTCATGTTCAGAGACTTGTGCCTGCCTATTGAAATGCTTGTACTCAAAGACCTCTATTCCCACAGATTCAAAGGCAAGCCTGGTGAGCAATGTTGTGAAAAGTTGCCTCCTATCCATAAGGAATCATTGGCTCATTTTGTTTCTAGGAAATGTAAAGGATTTCCTCTAAGCATAAATCTTAATTATCTCATCATATGCTTTTTAGAGATTTGAATCGGGTCAAAATATCACAACACATCAAGGAAACAATGGAAAACAATAGCACAAGTATTTTCAAATATCATTGACTTTGCCAGAAGATTCTAGGTTCTCTTTTTAAATCACTCATCAAAAGAATTAAGAATTTCTCCTAAATTCCCTGAGTGCCGTTCTGGCCCTTCCCACCAAAACCCACTGCATATCTCAGCACACGTAGAGCCCAGAGTTGCATCCTTTGGTGCTCCTGGTTGACAATCTTAGAAACGTCACTAAGAGATTATTACCTGAAACACCGCAGGCCTCTTCTCTGAGAATATTGACTTTTCTAGAGCAGACTATCTTATAGTCCCAAAAAGAACAGCAGCTTAACAAGCACAATATTCATGAGCGATAAATGGAGCTTCAGGCCCTGTCACTCTTACTGTGTCCGCCAAAGTTTCTTTCCAAGCTTGTGAGTGAGCATGAACTCACATCCACACTAGACACTGTCATTTTCAAATAGTGCCTGGCAACTGTGGCTTCTCTTAGCAGGAACAGAAATGATGAAGAGAGAAAATAAACCAAGGAACCCTCAAATATCCTCCCAAAATAAATGCCAATCCCAGTGATGAGCTAACTGTCATAGCTGTGCCTAACTGGACCAATCTACGTTTGGCTGACTTTCATGCCTATCCTAACAGTGACTCTTTTAGATTCACAATCCCTAAAGAAAAGAGAAGGACAAATAAGGTTCTAAAATGTAATGGCCTGTCCAAGACTAGGAGAAAACAGAGGGAATGGGCCTGGAAAAGCTAGAACCCTGAGAGCATACCTTTTTATAGTTGTTTTAATCATACACTGTTCCAAAAACTATAAACAAAGTAATTGACAATCAGTGTACCCTATTTTAACCCTATTTAGAATTTTAGAGAATTTGTTGATATATATATATATATATATATATATATATATATATATATATTGTTGTTGTTGTTGTTTTTGTTTTTGAGACAGAGTGTCACTATGCAGTTCAGGATGTCCTTCAACTATTAGCCCAGATTGGCCTCAAAGTTGTAGTGATCCTCCTGCCTCAGCCCCAAGTGCTGAGATTGCAGGCATTTGTTTTAATTATGCATGCTCCTCCTGTGCATCTCTCTTGAAGCCTGCAAGTGCAGCGGGCACGCGGACACCTGTCATTTCGACATCAACGTGTGGACAGCGTCAGGGAATCGCAGTGGCGGGGTCTGCAACAACTGTCAGCACAACACAGAGGGTCAGCACTGCCAGCGCTGCAAGCCAGGCTTCTACCGGGACCTCCGCAGACCCTTCTCCGCCCCAGACGCTTGCAAAGGTGAGTGCACGCGTGGCCCCTGAGGGCGGAAAATAACAATGCTTTGTGCAAAAGACAGCAGGCTTTCCGGCTTCGATTTTGCTGGTCCAAGAGCAAGAGGGCAAGAAATTCTTAAACAATGCACTCATGAACACGGCTCAACTTCTTCACTGATGAGGAACAAACGGTTTAGCTCGCTAGATGAAGGCAGTACACATTCGTGAGGCTCATCTTCTTTTCCACCCCCTGGGAAGCACAGTCATTTCTTGGAGTAACTAATTGGAACACAAGGTGACTAGCAGAAGAAAAGGGGTGGTCAACAGGGAGAGACCTGGAAGATCATCTTGGGACTAAATATGTGAGTAAGCTGTGGGAGGCTGCGAGGCAGGACGGGCACAAGCTCAAGCCCAGTCTGAGCAACTTAGCCACTGGGCAAGACCCTGGGTCAGAGCAATAAAGAAAACACAGGCTGGGGAGTAGCTCAGTGTGAGGGCCTTTGGTTCAATCTTACTAGAAAGAGAAAGAGAGAGAGAGACAGAGAGAGAGAAAAGATTTTATATATATATATATATATATATATATATATATATATATAGGCATAGCTTATTTGAAAGAAGAGCAGGATTTTAAAGATCTGCCTAATTCGTGTGACATTCCTTGCAACGTGTGAGCATGAACGGCACATGCAAAGCTTAAGTCAAACGTGACGCCAGTGCGTCCAGCTGCCGCAGAGTTTCCTCGTCTGTCATCTCGGAAGCCCTTAGACAGCAGAGGCCGCTCAGCGCTGTCCATGGAGATTGATGACCGTGCCCTTCCCTTCCCCACCAAGGACTCCTTGTTCCAGCTCAAAAATCGGTGACAGGAAGGGAGCGAGACAACGGGAAGTGAGCATGTAAAATCTTGAGGTTTTTTTTTTTTTTTAAGAAAAAACCAGATTGTTCTTTAAATACACATTTGTAAGTTCAGGGAGAAGATATGAAATCTCCACGAGGTCCTGGGACAGGATCGCTTGTGACCAGCTTAGTGGAAGGGGGTGAGGGACACAGCTCACTGTGACATCAGGCTCCAAGTGTGGATTTGTATCAGAATATTCCTTCAAGAATTCCATTTTACTCCAACTCCCCAGACTTTCCCTTTAACAGGCTTCACCTACATATAGATTAGGTGCGCCACTGCCGCTCAGTGACTGTGAGCCCTGTGCTCTTTCCGTGACTCTGCATTCTCCATGTGTAAGATTTCTCCCTGTGATATTAGTGAGAACTAAGCTTTACGTGCATCTAAGATCAAATGTTTGACCTATTGCCTGTCTTGAGGGCATGAGCCCTCAGGAGAGGAAAACTAGTGTTATACCGATGGTTATCCTATAAACTAAGACCGGGAATACTATAGGGTTTCTATTAATTATTGATTAAAAATGCAGTGTGTCAAAGATAATTATTTCTTTAAAAACCATAGCGCCTTTGGACTAAAATAAAGGATCTTTATCTGCATAGGGTGACTAAAGGAACCACTTATAAAAATAGCTTGGAACTGAAGCAGATTCGATCCTAAAACTGTTTTGTACAAGGTATGTTCTAATAGATAGGTGTGTCTATCTGTGCGACCCACAGCCTCTGACCTCAAGCATAAATATCTCAGAGTCAAAAGGTGTGGGTCACAATACTGATAAAACAGGAAAAGGAAAGAACTTGTCACTGAACAGCCTAGAGAAGTTAGCGACCTTATAGGACAATAGGTACCATTTCAAGAAAATTCTTTAGGTAGCATTTGCTGGAAACAGTATGCTGTACAATACACGTCATATATTCGCTTCTTCGTTCATTCATTCGTCAGTGACTTTATATTGAGTACCTATGATGTGCCCAGACTTTGAGTGCTTCAGAGAACAAAACGGAGATCCTTGCCTTGAAGAAGTGTATATTCTAGCAGAGTGTGGTGATGCATGCCTGTAATCCCAGCACTGGGAGGCTGAGGCAGGAGGATTGCTGTGAGTTTGAGGCCAGTTGGGCTACACAGTGAGTTCAAGGCAGCTGGAACTGCAGAGTGAAACTGTCTCAAAAAGACAAGAAGAAGAAGAAGAAGAAGAAGAAGAAGAAGAAGAAGAAGAAGAAGAAGAAGAAGAAGAAGAAGAAGAAGAAGAAGAAAGGTACATTCTAGTAGAGGAAGAGATAGACAACAAATCTAATTGATAAGGAATCAGGGCATGAGAGCTGATAAGTGCTGATGTCACCAAAATAGAACACACAAAACAAAGCAGTGGGGGTGAAAGTGCCTGCCATGACTGAGGCAGAAAGAGGAGTGGCAGGTGCGGTGCCCCGTAGGATGACAGGTGGCTGCAGCCCTGGAGGTGACACTGAGCAAATAGGTGAGGGATTAGCCATGGACTTAACAGGGAAAGAGCACTGCAGGCAATATCTAAAGGATCTAAAGACAGGAAAGTGACAGAGGAGTCTCAGGAAAGCACAGAGGTTGGCGTGGCTGTCAGCGTGGCAGCTGGGGAGCAAAGGGAAGTGGATCAGGGAGGGGACCCAAGGTGGGAGGGAGGACTGCTGAACCCCCGCAGGCCACTGCACACACCCTGGAGTGAGCTGCGCCCCTGTGAGGTGTCTGAGCACAGGCCACTGCCAGTGACTCGGTTTTTAAAGGGCTGCTCCTGTACGACAGCAAGGCAGTCCACTCTCACAAACTTCAGAAGGTGCTGGGCCAGTGCCGCCATCTCCTGCCAGGAAGCCTGTTGGAAATGGAAATCTTTGGCCCCAACGAAGACAAACTCATTCAGAAACCCTGTTGATGATGGGGCTCAGCGGTCTGAGGTCTAACAGGCCTTCACGCGTCCCGCACTGTGATTCTCATGCACAATGAAGTTTGAGAAACATTTTTTAAAGGATGCCCCGATTTTATAGTGGTTAAAGCAAGTTGCTGACATTTCTCTGGTGTTGAGCATTTGGTGCGGGGATGGCAAACAGTCATCTGCATCAGAGAAGGGAAAAGCCAAAGGGAACAAGGAAAGAAAGCTTGGGAAGATTGATCAGGGCTAGATTCTAAAGGGCCTTGACCGCCACCCTAAAAAATGTTGAAGTTTATTTCCTATGGCACTGGTAGAGAAGCATTATATACTTACAGTATGTTTTAATGATGTATAGTTCAGGTTAATTTGAAAGCATTACATATTATTCACTGCCTTTTGTTTTGGTAGTTATTTTTAAGCTGGTTCTGTAAAATCCTAAACCAGATAAATCCTCAAAAAATTAAAACAGATAAAGCATTTTTTTTAATGCCTAAATCCGACCAATTGAAAAGAGAAAGAGAAAAAAGAAAAGGTTAAGGGCAGACAGATTTGGAGCCAAAATAAATACCTTTTGTTTGTTTTGGTTTAGTTTTATTTTAGTTTTCATTACTGTTCTGTGTTGAAGCTGCGGTTTGTATTCTTACTAAATGTAAAACAGTTACCAGCATTAGTTTCTTAAATCTTAGATTACTTATGACTTCAGAGTTTTAAAAAAATACAGAAGAAGAGTTTATAAAAGGAAAAAAAAAGCCTGACTCCTTGTTAGCAGGCATTATTAATTTATAAGTCAATCCAGGGACTTTCATGGGGGAGGTTTGATAGGTTTGGCCTCACAAACTACCAATTCTCTGAGCAGTGAACAAAATGTGAGGCTATAGTTAAAACTAACAGGACACATAACATTTTATTACCTTTTCAGCCCATGAAAATGTCTGAACATTTTTCCACATCAATGGACTTGAGCAATTAGGATATTTTTAAAGCTTTCTCTCTCACTCCATAAATACTTACTAAGCACCAAGGAGTCCTTGTTCCTAGAAGCTGGCACTGTAAGGGAGACAGGGTTTTTTCACGTCTAGAGGGTCTGTGTACACATTTGCATATATAGGCATCTAATGTCACACACACACACACACACATCAGTGCAGAAAAGGAACAGAAGGTAGGAAGGAGACAGTGTATTCTGTCAACCTAGAAAGGTTCAGCTAGGGTAAAAACGAGCAGGACTGGGGGCGGTGGCCTATAATTCCAGCACATAGGAGGATGGCTGCAAGTTCAAGGCCAGCCTGGACTACACCCTGTCTCAAAAAATGAACAAATGAAAAGCCGCTGGGAAGATGGGGCGTAGCAGAGAGGAGGAGGGGCTGGCTGGCTGTAGGTGCCTTCGTGGGGAACCTCTTCATCAGTAAGCAGGGGTCACCCATGGACTGAACCTCCCAGAAGTAGTGAATGACCAGCCAATATGCAGCTTGCACCTAAGACCTACCAATATCCAAGTATTAGATCCCAAAGCTTTTCTGATGAAAATTCTACCAAAGCTACATTAGCAGATTCTAAAAGCAAAACAAAACCCCTTATACAAAATAAGGGAATTGTAACATGGTTTCTCTGGATAACTTCTTTAACCCCTTAGACAGGGCATCCACCTGTATCTTGGCTACTGAAAGACTTCGAGCTAGAGACCACTATGCATAAGTCCTGCCGCTCAGCATTCTCAGCAAAAAAGAAAAAAGAAAGAAAGCTTGCATGGTTCTTAATGCACCAAGCAGAGAAATTATGAGAATAGCTAATACCCACTTAGTTATTTCCACATAATCTGCAGGAGTTAGTTAGTTAGTAGGGATGATCTCTGTCGCCGTCTCCCTCTCTCTAGGCAGTCCTTGAATCACAGGTAAACTCCTCGACAAAGGTCTGTGAACATTCATTTCATGACTCTGGCTCTTGCCCCACATCTGTCGACTTTGCCAGCCTCGGTCTCCTCATCGGCAACCCTTCCAGGACATTCCTCTGGTTGTCGTCTTCCCTTTTCTGAGCCTGAGGTCAACACCAAGCCTTAGTAGAAGGTCTCCCTGTTCTCCACCTGATTCTCTCCCTAACATACCATTGAATTGCCAATATGTTTGACAACATTTTTATTATTATTTAGTAATATTTTGCCTATCATTAAGTTCTTCCTTAAATATAACCCCTACATCACCTCTTCCGTTATTAATGCTAATAATACAGCTAAGGA